AGGAGCGGATCCAGCGAGAGCTTGATGGGGCGACGCGGAATGAAAAAGTTTTTCAGGAGTTGTGGTAGTAGAGGCGGCGCAACTATAATGACATGTGAATAATAAAATAATATTTAATAATAATAAAGCGGTACTGAGCTGCAGTGGAAACGCAAACCGTGCCAAGCCGAACCGTGCCGTACTGAGCCGAGTCGTACCACGCAGTGGAAAAGCACCATTGGAACCTCAACCGAGGTGGTACTAAAAAAAGTAGCAGGTACCAGGTACTGTACCCAGTGGAAAACCCCCCAAAAGTGAACCGTACTGAGCCGTACCGTGCCGTACCATGCAATGGAAAAGCGCCATAACTTTAAGTTAATCGACAACGAATTGTGACTCCCGGGAAATACGGGACGTCTGGTCACCTTATCCCTACCCCTTCGGGTGCTGAGGCCATTGTTTCAGATCGCTAGTTCGCGTTTTGGTAGCCTATCCATCCACTGTAGCTGCCAAACTGAGACTAGATATGCAAACGTCCCTTATCTGATTGCAATCCAATGACAGGGACGCACATTCTGAAGGACAAGACAGTAGCCTATAGGATGTATTTTGAATGTCGGGTAGTCCTCAAATAACATTATAGTCCCGTCTCGTCTCGTTAACGAAGACGCGGCATAAATTTCGTCGTAGTTTGTAATCATCGGATATTAGTTTTAGCTCGTCAACGTCTCGTCTTAGTCACAGAAAAAATTTTCCTTAACGAATATTTTTCGTCATCGTCTTCGTTGACGAAATTAACACTGGTCACAAATATCATGTATGTTATAGTGTAATAGTGATAGATGCAGATTTTTCTCACCTGTCTACCCAGTGGTAATTGGCCTTCTCCACCCCTGCATCCTCTTTGCTAACCCCCGGTACATGGGTTCAAGGGACTTCTCTCTCTCAGACTGCAACATCACCCAGGAAACAATCATCCAATTTTCGTTCATAACTGCATAACTTGACATGGTGCCAGATGACAAGGTCACTTTTCGTGCCACCTTCCTGGTGTGGTCAGACCGCAAGACCTGTCCAAAAGTGCCCTGCAGGAGTGTAGTGATAGCTGGCTCTTGGCGCCGGTACTCATCAATGAGGCAGTCAGTCAGGTAGTGAGCAGAGACAGAGACTTCACACCACCCATCTGCATCCTCATAGGCTCCAAAAGACTGTGGCATGTCATCCTTCCTCACAAGGTGACCAAGAGTCATCTGCCTATAAACCCCAGCCTCAGCATCCCAGATGTTCTGTATGCTATGAAGGTATGCCAGGTGAGCTTGTTCATATTTAAGGTGCATCAGCTCATTCACCTGGTTTGCCATGTCTGAAGGTGACTTGCCAGTACGCCTCAGCTCATGAAGCACAGACTTGCAAATGGCCTTCTTGTAAGTTAGGAATGCTGGCAGAATGCTTGTGAACCGCTTTGGCAGTTTCCCCATCCACTGAGGACTGTCAGCAAACCAGATCCTCTTGCACATCCTGCAGCGAAGGCGTGAAGCAAAGATGTAATACTGTCCACTGGTGCCAACAATCACTCGAGGCCTACCCACACCAGCTGAGACTATATCTGGCTTTGGACAACCATGAAGACATGGGAGTATATAATTATTTCTTAGTCTCACCATGCTGTCACTTTCTGGTTTCCAAATAAAAAATGGATGGAGCTGAAAGAAATTGCGGGATGGGAGTGCTAACACAGTGTCAGTGAGTTCTGGCTGTGGAGGGAGACTGCATAATGAAAGTGCGTTTCCTGGCTTGAGCATATGGTGGGACCCAGGCCACAGTCCCAGAGATTGGAGCCCTGTCTTCATCCACACTTTCTGATGATAAGAACAGGTCCAAGTGCTTATATCCAGATCTGGTCTCTGTGCCGGTGGGGCAACAAAAACTGAAGGACCTGCTGTGGGAACAAGGATGAAAAACAAAAACATAATTGGTGATATGTAGTCATTTTCACACATTGTATTATCATCACAGATTGTATAATAAATTAAAACATATTTTGGCCATAGTAAAACCTTCAGAGTAGTTATAAAAACATCTTACTGTGTGGTGTCTCAGGTGTATGAGGGGATGATCTGAGTGTCAGTGGGGGAACAACAACAGAAGGACCACCTGAGAAAACGGATGAAAAAAATAAAAAGTAGATTAGTGCAATGTCATAACATTTACACTTTTGTTATATTCTTCTTATTATAGACTATATAATAAAGGACACTTTTGGGGCAGAGTAGCACTTGAAAAAAGAGTTATGAAAACATCTTACTGTGTGGTGGCTCGGGTGTATGAGGGGAAGAGGAGGATTCTGAAGGTGGGAGGGTTCCTGAAAAGATCAATGTATGGTTCAGTTAAAATCAATAAACTGTATTTACTTTATATTGCATCATTTATTTATTAACTTAGTTACCATATTTGTTACCACTGCTGTACAGCCTTGAAAAAACATTTACTTGAGAAGCAAAATGCCAGAAGTCATCTTGATTTTGTGTGTGTGAAAATGATCAAAATGAAGTGAGTTTATGATTAAAACAAGAACAAATGTCTGCCAGTGGGGTCAAAAAAATAAACTTAACTCAAAGGGAAAACAAGTTTTCATATCCCACTTACAAACAGTTGATTTTTAAGCATAAACTCACTTAATTCAGTTCAAATTCCCAAAGCAAAACTTTATATTTTAATTTTGCATCTCAAGTAAGTGTATCTTGATTTAAGGGTATTTGTACTGAAAAACAAGACAAAAATACTGAGGAACATATTCATTTTTTTTTCATGCAAAATGTAATGTCATGATGACTTTATGAATTTTAAGACTTTCTGTTCTAATTAAAATACATTTTTTAAGGCCTTAATTTTCTACCAGAGCAAAATTCTGGTAGAGTTACAATCTTACGATGTGATGCCTCAGCTGTCTGTTGGAGACTAAATGTAGTGGTTGCTGAAGAAGAGAGATCTTCTAAAAAGATGGATAAATAAAATTGTATAATTAGAATTTTTTTTTAACACAACATTTGAATAATTTCATTATGTCAAGTGCAATACAGCCTTACTGTTTTTGCCACATTTCTCAAAAGTAAGTGTCCTGCACACTCGAGAGGTGTCTATAGTGCTGCTGTCTCCTGTAACAGAATACCATTTATCTATTAACAATTATTCATACAAGAGGTGAGGAATTATAAATATTAAATGGGATTTTAAATACTAAACAATTACAATGTACAGTGTGACTTTAGAATAAAAAAAGCATCACAAAACCTAACATAAAACACACCTGTAGTTGAATCCGTTCTCTCCACTTTTGTCGTATCTTTTACAAGGAACATCAACTCTTTAGGAATGGACACAGGTATTTTGGGGCGCATGGGTGGTGCTAAATAAAAGAAAAGATAAAAACAAAGAAGAAAAAGATCAATACCATAGTACATGAGACAAATGTTTGAATAGATGGACAGAATTACAATGCATTTACCATGAAATGGTGTCACTCGTTGTTGCTTTTCAGCAGGTGATTTGGAGAGGGAAACAGAAGGTACTGCAGGATTAAAAAATAATAATAATTAGGCATATTAGGTTTAAGGACAAAAACACCTTAATCGTACTTCACATGCTTGTCTTGTACAAAATAAAATGACATATGCCCAGGAGGAATGTGAACAAAACATGCAAAAACATGCATTTCATCATATGTTAGTAACATTTACGAGTTGCCAAAAGCGAGTACTTACCCTGATTGTGGCTGGTATCAATTCATGAAGGGGAAATCAATTCATAGTCCCCTGGGACATTTAGTTTATTGCCAACGGCAAACGCATTGTTAACGGAACAAGGCCGAAACATGGCCAGAACACTGAGAACACAAGGATTTATGTTCAGTCCTGGAGAGCATTTCATCTCACAATTCAACAGAACTGTGCTCCAGTGCTGAACCTCATGTGTAAAAACCTTTTTCCGTTTCCATAAACCACCCCGGTTCAGCTGCTGAGGATGATGATGGTGGCGCTGGTGGTAACACACAAAACAGTAAAACATTTGAGAGCGGAAAATACGGAAAATACAATTGATATAGTAAAGCACAGAAAGAAATCATACTTACATTGCACCTGTAGATGAGGGTGATGAGGGTGAGGCGGAAGCCGAGGAAGAATCCATATGCGGATGTTTATTGAAGCAGTCCAACAAAACCAAACTCAGGGTCAGTAAAAACAGGCAATGAGGTCAAAAACACAGTAAGGCAGTCCAACCAGGCAAACAGGCAAAAGGGGTAATCCAAAAGAGAAGTCACAACAAACAGATAAACAGGTCATACACGTGGTAAGAAGGCAGAGATACAAACGCTTGGTAAGGCAGGATAAACTGGCAATACTTCGCAAAGTAGTCATGTGGTGGCCAGGTTAATATGGCCACTAAACAGGAAGTGGTTGCAGAGAAAGCAGAGGGAGTGCTAACAGTCAATACTCGGGCGAGGGCTCCCTCTGCTGGCTTGGTGTTAGAGAACCACCCCTCTAGGAGCGACTCCTGGCGCTCTGCGGCCTGGCTCGATGAAATTCCTCTATGAGTGAGGGGTCCAGTATATCGGAAGCAGGTATCCATGATCTCTCCTCAGGTCCGTATCCCTCCCAGTCCACCAGGTATTGAAGCCGACCCCCTCTACACCTCGAGTCCAGCAGCATGTTCACCTTATAAGCTGGCGATCCGTCAATGTCCAGCGGAGGCGGTGGCTCATGGGACTCAGCGTTGGGGTCAGCATTCGGGTGGACCAGTTTGAGGAGCGAGACATGAAATGATGGAGAGATGCGGTAGTTAGCAGGAAGCTCAAGCTGATATGTAACCTCATTTATCTGTTTTAAGATTTTGAATGGGCCAACATACCTTGGGCTGAGCTTCCTGCTCACCAGATGTAGCTTGATGTCCCTCGTAGAAAGCCAGACCCTCTGTCCCGGTTGGTAGGGAGGATGTGGGCGCCGTCTTCGGTTTGCCTGGAGTTCTTGAACTCGTACAGCTCTTTGAAGATGAACATGAGTGCTATCCCACACCCTCTCGCAACGACGTATCCAGTCATCTACCACAGGAACGGAGGAAGGTTCGCCAGACCACGGGAACAATGGAGGTTGATATCCTAATACACATTGGAATGGGGTGAGTCCTGTAGAGGCATGGGTTAAAGAGTTTTGGGCATATTCCGCCCATGGCAAGAATTCTGCCCACCGATTCTGTTCCCGGCTGCAGTAGGTTCTCAGATATCTACCAATCTCCTGATTGAGTCTCTCGACTTGACCGTTTGACTGTGGGTGATAGCCTGACGTCAGACTCACATTGATGTCCAATTGTCGGCAGAAAGCTTTCCACACCTGAGAGGTGAATTGAGTCCCTCGATCCGAGACGATGTCTTCGGGTAAGCCATAAATTCGAAAACACCTGGTGAAATAGAGCTTGAGCCGTTTCTATGGCTGTTGGCAGACCTTTGAGGGGAATGAGGCGGCAAGACTTAGAGGCTACAGGTCGCAAATTTCATTTGAGGAGGCTGTGGAGTTTTTAGGCATTTAGCTTGGGAGAAAACATAATTTGGACAAAAAGCAATTTGCAATGGAAAGAACCAAAAGGCCTTGTGTTACCTTTCAAATTATTAACCAGAAAACACATTGTGATTATTTTAAAATATTTGAGGCAATCTAATCAACTTCTATAAAAGGTGATAAGTCCTCCGCCCAGCAAAAGTCTAGGTGGAAATCAGGGATCGGATACTTTTAGTGATCCTCGTCTGATGAGCCTGTTGAAGATTAGATAGTAATTAAAAAGCTGGGATTAGAGAGGTAAATCATGGCCAAGGACTGCAGAGAGGAGGAGAAATCAGGTGAGCCACATACATATCATAGTTTTTCAGCAATATTCAAAGAAATGGAAGACCATCACAGACACCTGACATCAGCTTGTGGAGACGTGCGGAACTATCAAACAGAAGGACTTGAAGATGCACCTGAAGGAACAGTGACATCTGCTGACTCAGTCCAGGAAGTACTGGATGAGATGGAGGATAGGTGCAACAGAGGAGGAAGAATCCATATGCGGATGTTTATTGAAGCAGTCCAACAAAACCAAACTCAGGGTCAGTAAAAACAGGCAATGAGGCCAAAAACAGAGTAAGGCAGTCCAACCAGGCAAACAGGCAAAAGGGGTAATCCAAAAGAGAAGTCACAACAAACAGATAAACAGGTCATACACGTGGTAAGAAGGCAGAGATACAAATACTTGGTAAGGCAGGATAAACTGGCAATACTTCGCTAAGTAGTCATGTGGTGGGATGTATGAGTAAAATCATAAGTTATGTTATTTGTTTATATCAGTTGATACAATGGCAATATTTCCTGCTAAAGAGCAAATGAGAAAAATACACAACTGACCCATGGGCTGAGTTATGGCACTTGATGTGGGCACAGGCCGACAGGTTGACTGCTGCTGCTTCCGCAGGTATTGCTGCAGTTTGTGCATCCGTGTCCCTGGGACACAGGTCGCCCCCAATACAAAGGATGCATATCCATCAGCCCTGCTTTTCCAAATCTCCTGCCATGTGCTCTTGGCACAAGCCCCGAAACCAACTACTGTGTAACTGGTCATCCTCTGATGAGGCTGCTGGTGCAGCTGGTGTTGTGGACACATAGCTAAGAAGAGACTCAATTTCTTCAAAGCTGTGAGCATAGTTGGCAAATGACACCAGGCTGTGTTTGCTGTGTCCCTCTGCCCTAAACTCTCCAGCAGCCTCTTCCTGCTGCTGGGTCTTCATCAGATATATGGTGTACCCCATGTCATTTTCAAGGAGCCACCGAAAGGACTTGCCCTTGTATTTTCCAAATTGGAGGATGTATTCGCCCAAAACCTCTCTCTTGTCTGAGGCATCCCCTCCTCTCTGACGGACAACAGTCAGAGCATGTTGTCTGACAAGGTCCTGCTTCATGGGCGCTGACTTGTCCTGCAGTGATGGGTTGCTTTTAATCAGGCTTGCCTCATCAGTTGGCTCCTGAAGGAGATACCCTAGAGGTCCCTTACGGAGAACAACCTTCACTTTTCCAGGGAAAACATGACTTCTTTGTGCATGTTGACCTATAGGACAGAAAAAGCAATATTTCTATCACACAAATATATTCATATATATACACAAACAGAAAATACAAAAATAATCATAACGCTACTATAGTAAAACTGTAGTAATCCTGCTGTTATGGGCAGATTGATTTTCATTCATAACTTCATTAAATTACTGCAATTACAATGGTCAATACAGTAACAACAATGGCAAATTTATGGTTGTGATTCTACTACTAAATACTATGGCTGAATTACGGTTACTATAGTAAAAGCATGGTTATAAAACATTCTCACAGGACAACAAATCACTTTAATTTTTAAACTGTGGAACATATCTACGTAAACTCATTACAAAAAATGGGTTAACCGGTTCATAATTTAGCTTGCAATTAACGGGTGACGTGTTAAAAATGGCAAACAACCTTTGGCAAAACTCCCTCAAGAGGGAGAATTTCGTGTTTAGTGCTTAGAAAATAAATCTGAATTCAGTACTAACTTACAGTGATAAAACTTAACCGATGTAACTATCCAAGAGTTAATAAAAACCTTATACAACCTAAAGAACGGAATGAGTATAGCTGCCAAGACAGCAACCGCGAGAAAACACAAATGCGAAAAAAAACATAATATGTTAAGAACATAAATACAGAAACGTAAATTACAACTATGTTCATTCATAATTTTGCATGCACGTCACCATATGTTTAATTCTAGTAAATAAAACGTGGCAAGGTAAGGAACAAAGCTAACGTTTTCACACAACTAGTGTGATTTCAGCATAAACAAAACGTTAACTGATGTCACATAATGTAACTTAACGTTACCTTTGATAGATGCGCTGATAATTCGTTGAATTAAACAACGAGGTAGATCGCCACCGTGTGTGTTTCACTCTCCGGGTCGAGAAAAAAATGGCGAATTCAAACTTCCCGGGGTGCACAAAACACGGAAGAGCGCCATGAGAGCGCTAGCGGGCGAAAGTATATCGCATCGGTAGTGGTTTAGCACTACCATTGAGAATGAATGGGAAACGGTTTAGGGCCGTTTAGCTAAAGAATCCCCGGCCGTCGCGCGGAAGACCCGGGTCCGATTCCCGGCCAATGCAAGAACAGCCTCCTTTTAAGTAAGGTGTGTGTGGTTCTTATTTGAGGGAGCTGCAGATGCATTTCCTACCTTGCGCATCTGTTTGAGCCAGTCAAGCATTGGTGGTTCAGTGGTAGAATTCTCACCTGCCATGCGGGAGCCCTGGTTCCGATTCCTGGCCAATGCAAGAACAGCCTCCTTTTAAGTAAGGTGTGTGTGGTTCTTAGTTGAGGGAGCTGCAGCTGCATTTCCTACCTTGCGCATCTCCTCAAGCTAGTCAAGCATTTGTGGTTCAGTGGTAGAATTCTCACCTGCCCGTGTCCGATTCCCGGCCAATGCAAAAACAGCCTCCTTTTAAGTAAGGTGTGTGTGGTTCTTATTTGAGGGAGCTGCAGCAGCATTTCCTACCTTGCGCATCTCCTCAAGCCAGTCAAGCATTGGTGGTTCAGTGTTAGAAGTCTCGTCTGCCATGCGGGAGACCCGGGTCTGATTCCCGGCCAATGCAAGAACAGTGTCCTTTTAAGTAAGGTGTGTGTGGTTCTTATTTGAGGGAGCTCCAGCTGCATTTCCTACCTTGCGAATCTCATTGAGGCAGTCAAGCATATTCAATATACATATCTAAACTTAGCCAAGAAAAAGTGTGTTTTTCAGGATGTTGCATTTTACAGATAATTAATGGGAGCACTTTAGACAATGCTTTTTCATGCTTATTTAATGAATTACAAGCAATTACTGCTCATGAAAATCTGAAGAATTCCTGAAGGCAATAAGACTTTACAGGCGGCAGGCAAGAAAGGTCAGGGTTAAAACAACTAATGACAGTAAACTGACCTGTCTGT